TTTAGACATCTATTTTGGGGTCTATCCTTTAGCATTTCATATTTACGACGGCAAATCCCTTGAATAACAATATACAGAATATTAACCTTAAAATGGACCACTCCTTCACTTTTTAACTTTCTTCCTTCCTGTCTCATTATTTTCTTTCTTCCTAACTCCCTACCTTCTCTCTCCTTCCTTCTTCACACATGTAATCATCTAGCCTCAAGTAAGTTCTCAACATACTGGACAGTGTGAAGATATATGTCCACTCCCAAAAGAGTCTGAATGTTGCAACGGATTAATGTTGTCCTGCAGTTCCAACATTTCATGATCTGAAAGAGGACTGTCCAGTACAGGGACACTGATCCCAGGATGAGGTTCAGTCATGTATCCATTCTCCTCCCATTCAATCTCTGGTGTCGGTATACCCTGGAAAAAGAAAGTGTGTATGAGCATTGTGCAAAATGAATCTCAAGAAAACACATTTAATAAAGCCCTATCATGACCTTTTAACAATTACTTAACATCTATGATGTCAGGCAGAACCTAGCATCTCCATTATTTCATAAATTATTATTATTTTTTAAATTAATGGGCAGATTTTATGTTGAAACAGCAGTGAGAATATCACATCTGGAAGGTCTAATGCCTTGCATTTTGAACTTGCAGATGTGTCATGACTTTGTAATGTCATGACATTATAGTTGACAGTGTCCACTTCAGTAGAGGTGCACACAAACAGAACCGTAATTTCAACAGCCATTTTGTCTTGAATCCAAGAAGCATAGAGCAGAGGTAGATTATCAAAGTGTTGAACATTTGATTTATAGTTAAGGATCAACTTGACATGTGATCAGTCATTTTAACAGAACATACATTTGCCCCTGGATCAGAAACAGGATTCAGAGCCTGGCCCAGATGCCACAGCTGATTTGGTGTCATGTTTTCCTCTGTCCTGATTGGATGGTTGTCCCACGCATCTCTAAAGACATCCAGGCTGGCCTGGATGCGAGACAAGAAAATATAGTGGCAACAAAACATGTGAAGGATGTTACTGATGTCGAGCAAGTCTTGGTCTTCCAGAGAGTGCAGGATGTAGTAATATAGACCAGTAACACTCATGAAGACATCACGCCACAGGCGCTCGATCCTGGATTTGGAGGGGGATTAAATAAAAGAAAATTATAATATACACACAAATTTACATGTCCATACATCCGTTTTCAACTTGAGTTATCTTTTGAATGGTCGCAGGAGGACTGGTGCCTATCTCTAGCAGTCACAGTGTGAGACGAAGGGTACACCCTGGGCAGGTCAACAGGCACAGGCACGCGCGCACAGACACAAAGCTTCCAAATTAGGTTAAACTCACCGTTGATTGTGTACACTTTTTCCTGCAATGAAGCTGTTGGTGTCAGTTCCACGAACTGAGAACATTAATTCTGCAACACCTACATTTTCTCCACCATGATCTCCTCTCACCATGAAAAAAAAAACATTAGAATCTTGCTTCAAACATTTTTAATGCACATCTATAACAATCTACATCAATTTGAGTCTCACAGAAATTTCCTTATGTACCTTGCTACTAAGTGAGTAAACAATAAACAATGTGGCATTATTAACCCTCTGCTGGGGAAATTTTTTTTGAAAGAGGGAAATGTTCACCCCCCCCCCCCCCCCCCCCAAAGATTTTACTATATGACCTCAAATGGCATGTTATCTTTGGTCAATAACACACTTTAGGCAAAAGCAGATTTGTAACAGGGTAACAGAGGGTAAAGTTGAGAATAACATGAATACCTCAGAGGAAAGCCATGCTCATTCACAGCTTCACTGAAGAAGGCAAGGTGGGTGTCTGCTCGGTTGTTGTCAGCTACCTTCAGGTACATGATCTATGTAATTCAAGCACAAACACTCTCATATGACACATTTTTATAGGGGTCAAAACAATCAATTACCAAATGAAAGGTACAACAGCCATACAATAACATGTTAGATAATTAAATAAGTTAAGATCTGTGAAAACCAATAATAGCAATTATCTTCTATGAAAATATCTCAGTTATTAACGTTCATGCTTTGGAGCAGAAAAAGAGCATGACAATTAAATATTTCAAGCTCAGTTCGCTCCACTCTGATGGTCACCTGTTCCAGCCAGATACCTTCTTTCTAGGCGTTCAAAGTCGGAAACTCGCTGAGTAAACTGGGCGCTTAGAGGAGTATCTTCAGTTGTTTAAGACTGAGGGTAACGCTGCACACGCTGATTCGACTAGCATGGATGCTAATGTTAACATAAAAGAGGGCTTGCTTCGTCTCGCGCGCTAACGCCGCAAAGCACTATGGGATTAGTAGTCTTATTAGCGAAATCGCCCGGCGGGCCAGTTTAATATTATATATTTGATATTTGATTTCGCGGGGCAAATAAAATAGACCAAGGCCTTGAGTTTGACAACCGTGGCCTAAAAAAATGGTACCTAGATACGCTAACTAAACAAATGTTCACTTGAGTTTAGCTTGATGTTAAACTAGATGAAGAATGGACCAGACTTCACGTAACGTCTGGACTGAATTTAACATAAAACATTTTACTTGATCATGAAGAACGCTTCTACTCATAATTCTATAACATTGCATCAATTATAACGAGGGAATAAGATAAAACTATTACTCACAGATTGTGACCGGTCCATCCTGCTCTGCCGCGTGAACTGCAATGCGCATGCGCACAGCAGATCTGTTCTGTGACATAAGGAGCCATATGATTGGCTGAAAGCGAACAGCCCTGGCAGAAGCATATATTTGATTGACAGGTTCATTAGCCAATGGTGACGTTTGTTGACCTGCGACGTTAGGAGAGTCTCAAAATTCAGCACACCGATTTCTCTCACGAATGCAGGAAGGTTCACAAATGAGAAGCTGTCCGTGAATGCACGTTCAGCAATTCGCATGATCTGAGTTTATATTACAAGTGTTCTTACAAATTATATTTGTGAACCACAGAGTGTGAACTTCAGAATTAGCGTGCGCATTTGTGGAAAGTGTTGCGTGACTTATTTTTTCACATTATATTTATGAGTCAAAGAGTGTGAATTTCCGAATGAGCGTGTGCATTTGTGTTCCTCCGAATTATATTTGTGAAACACAGAATGTGGATTTCCGAATGAACGTGTGCATTTGTGGAAAACGTTGTGTGACTTAATTCTTATTGAGACTGTTCTGGCCTCATAGATAAATGAGGGTTAGTAAGAAGTATTTCATATTTGCTTAAAGAAACATTTTTTGTAACTTTCTGGAAATGTATCTTTGTAAAAGGAACCAAAACAAAGTAACATGAAAGCAATCAACAAAAACATGTTCAATGGTCTCTCCCTTACAACTACAAAAAGTACAGATGTCAGAAACATTTGGAAAAAAAATACAGATGTTTGCTTTTGACGGGTAATATCTATGAACAATTTTGAATAAAACTTCTTTTATCTTATTCACAATGACATATTGGTGAGGTAGCAGAAAGATCCTGTTCCAGAGTTTTGTATTCATCAAAGTCCATCGATGTTTACATATCGGGGTTGAGACAGGATCAATTACTTTTCTAATAACAGAATTATTACATTTCTTATCTGTGATTGGAATCCCAGAAATAGTTGGAGGTCTGACTGCTGCAGATAAGATAATGTTTGATTGTATGGTCTGTGCTAAAGAGAAAATACAAGCAGGGATGGATTTAATTACCATGTTATACTCTTCTTGTGAAGTATTAATATTATTTTTTTCTAAGAAGTCTTTGTGGGATAATGTTTCGCCATTAGTATTTTGTAGATTATTCACAGTGTTTACATTATTTAATGACCAATTGTGCAGATAGTGTTTTATTTTTGTTTACAATATATGTATTGTTCCAAATAATACAATTGTGAGGTGAGAAGTTGTGCTTAAAGATAAGACTCCAACATAATAAAGCTTGTTTATGAAAATTACTTAATTTAACTGGGAGTTTTCCTACTGAGAAAGGACATATCAACAGAAAGTTAAGTCCACCAAAGGCATTAAATAGATTATCTGGGACAATATTCCACATGCTATTAGGGCTTTTAATGAATCTTTTAATCCAATTGATTTTTATAATTTGGTTAAATGAGGTAAAGGTCAGTACATTAAGGCCCCCTTCAGCCACTGGATTTGAGAGAACAGATCTTTTTACCTTGTCAGGCTTGTTTTTCCATATAAAATTATAAAGAATTTTATCAAGTTGGGAGCAAATGGATTTGGGAATATCCAAGATTGAAAAAACATAGGCTGCTCTAGACATTCCCTATTCCTTGCTTAGCAGAACTCTACCGTATATGGATAAATCTCTGGAGGCCCAACAATTAAACTTAGTTTTAATAGCCTGAGTCACTGGGAGCATATTTAAGTCCGGAGTTTCTCTGTTATTTTTTGATATCTTAATGCCTAAATAAGTTACTATGTTTTTAATAGGAATGTTACATATTTCAGATTGGCAGCTGTCCTTTAGGGGTAGAATTTCACATTTTTTTATATTTAGATTTAATCCTGATATTTTTGAAAATTGAGATATTGTAGATAAAGCTGTGGGTATTTGTTCATTACAGAAACAAAGTAGTGTTGTCTGCTAGTTGCGAGATTTTGATTTCTTTGTCAAAAATTTGTATTCCCTTCAAAGGTGATTGTAGTATTAAATAGTTTAATTTTTGGGCTACTAGCAAGAAGATATAAGGGGAGGCTGGGCACCCCTGGCGCACCCCTTTTTCTACGTGAAATCTTTGAGATGTTCCACACATGAGTTTGACTGAGCTATTGTTGTTTCTATAAAGTGTTTTCACTGCTTTGATGAAAAAATTACCAAAGTTTAAGAAGGTTAAAGTATCAAATATAAATTCATGGTTAATTGTGTCAAATGCCTTTTGAAAGTCTAAAAAAAGAATAACTGGGTCCCCAGAGAGTAAATAATTATAATTAATCAAGTCCAAAACTAATCTAATATTGTTTGAAATATGACGTCCAGGTAAGAAGCCATTTTGGGCTCCATGGATAATGTCATTAATTCCATATTTTAGCCGTTTGACTATTACTGAAGCAAGAATTTTGTAATCGTTGTTTAATAATGTAATGCCACGCCAATTATCAATTAGAAGAGCATCTTTATTCGGTTTTGGGATTAATGTTATTAGACCTTGTTTCAAGGAGTGAGGTAATTCTTCATTATTTAGGGATTCATTATATACAGCCAAAAGGAATTTTGAGGTTTCTGCAGTTAAACGTTTGGTAAAATTCACCTGTGAGGCCATCATTACCAGGTGATTTGTTGAGTTTAATGGTTGGGGTGAATAGTAGCATTACATAAATTAGAGGATGACCAATAAGTAGAGGTCATGGTCATTCGATCGCCGATATCTAGACGTTTTCCATCTTATTTTCAGGCCAAAACACTGAAGTTAATCAAACATATCAGTTAGCTGACCGAGTATTAAATGTTCAAAACTGGTAAATTAGAAAGACATTATCATTAGAAATTATATTTAGAGCATTTATTTAGCAGACGTTATTCTGGAAAGTAAACCTACATTTAAACAATATTCTCCAGCAGCACGAGGCTGTCCGGGGATGTGCCTGACTTTAAATCGGCTTTACTAAGGAGGTATATCGGCTGATGTAGACATATAAAGAATGACAGATATCGGTCAACTGATATTATCGGTCTACCCTACAAGTGTTATTAATCAGGTGTTACGTCCCCGACAGGAGATGTTAAAATGTGAAGGAGGGGGTAACATAAGAAATACGACAGTGGCGTTTAAAATGGGTTTAATTGTGATAAAAGGTTCTAAAAACAAGAGCAAACAGATGGTGAGCATTATTAAAATAATACAAAACAAAAATTCTCTATAAGGTTAACAGTTACAAGACAAATTATCAACTATATAAAACACCTGGTTAAAACTTTATTAAAAGTTTTACCTAAACTGAAGGTGTTTTAAAAACACATCGACGTTGATAAAAGTCTAAAAACTAAATTCGAGTTAACCTTAAAACACAGTCAACACTAGGTGACATGCACAAAAGATCCATGTGGATCACTCAGAGTTAAAACTATGAGTTAAAACTCATCACAACGACGGGGTTAAACCAAACGAGACCTGGAGGACAGCAGAACCCCTGCACTGCTGCCTCTCAGACTGCTGAAGGCACAGCCTTTTTATCCTAGGTGTGGCTCATCAGGAGGATTCAGTTCAGCTGTGCTCCTCAGCAGCCTGGAAGAGAGGAGGAGGAGGGGCAGTGTCCAGTCAATCACCAGAGCTGGGTGATCCTGGCTGCTTTTTCCCTCTTCAGGCTGGCAGCCGTGACATCAGGAAACAAGCGGCTGGAGTTTTCTGTTGTCCTGATCTTCCTTCTCCAAGAGGAACATTGTCCTTCTCTTCAGAAGATTCTATCAAACCTGTTTTCTGTCACAAACTCATGCTGCAGCTCAGAAAATGTGAGTTTTTTTTCAGTTTCTTGTTCTGCAGTAGTGTGAGATTCAGTCAGGTCCACGTTGATCTCACTCTTATTCTGTCTGCAAGAAGAAGACTTTTTTAGAATCTTGTCTTCTTCTGGTTCCTGGAACGTTTTGGATGTTTCAACGACTTCCAAAGCTAAGCTTAATGGTGCCAAACATTATTTTCTTCTAAACTGCTCTGAATTTGAACAATTTCAGATTTTGAGGTAGTTACTGGTCCCTTTTCTGATTGGTTGCTGCTACAACTCTGCTGTCATAGCAACAGATACAGGAAATGTTTCCTGCTGCAGGCGATAACCTGTCATCTGGAGTTCAGATGTATTGTTATAATGTTATTTTACTGATTAATAAAGTTCATCTCACTGCTTAATTACATATTAACATGTTATAAAGTTGAATTGACTATTAGAATTGGTCAGAATCGCACATAAACCACCTTATTCTTCTGTTCTGATCGTTGATCCAAGTCAATAACCTTCTTGTCTTTAGGAGGTCGAAACGTTGACGGCCCACTGGAATCTGTACATCAGTCTGGGGTTTTTTTTGGTGGGAATCATGGTGGTGCCCCTCCTGGGTTCATGGAGCGACATGGCGGGCCGCAGACCCGTCCTCATCCTCCCTAACATTGGCCTGGCTCTCCAGGCGGTGGTCTACCTAGTGGTGATGTACCTCAAGCTGCCCGTGGTCTACTTCCTGGTGGGCAGGCTGCTCAGTGGCCTCTCAGGTGACTTTAACGCCATCCTGGCTGGCTGTTTTGCATATGTGGCAGACATCAGTGATAGGAAGTCCCGCACCTTCAGGGTGGCGGTGTTGGAGGCATCTCTGGGTCTTTCAGGGATGTTGGCCAGCATCATTGGAGGCCAGTGGAGGCGGGCACAAGGGTAAAGAACGACTTTTGCATACATTCTGTTGTAAAAATGGACGCATCAAAACTTCAGTAACGTCTCTTTTCTTTCTTCAGCTACATCAACCCCTTCTGGTTGGTCCTGGCCACCAACGTGGCCTCAGCTCTCTATACCTTCCTGTTTGTCCATGAGTCCGTGTACCCAGACCCAAGCGCAAAGCTCCTCACCGCTCGCCACCACAAAGCCGTGTGGCACCTGTACTCCACAGGTGGCAGCAGCAGCGAGGACGGGGGGCGACTTCGGCGCTGTAAGCTGTGGCTCTACACGCTGTGCTTCTTTCTGGTAGTGACAGTTCACTTTGGCAGCAGGGAGCTTTTTGTGCTGTACGAGCTGAGCTCCCCGCTCTGCTGGGGCTCGGCCCTGATTGGCTACGGGTCTGCAGCGCAGCATCTGGCCTACTTGAGCAGTCTGCTGGGCCTGAAGGTCATGCAGCGCTGCCTGAAGGACTCCTGGGTGGCTCTTGTGGGTCTGGCCTCTAACATAACCGGTCTGGTGGTCTTCTCTGTAGCTGATACCACTGAGCTCATGTTCACTGGTGAGACCCTAACCTTTTTACACTCAAGTAAATGCTGTATTTATGCTTTTGCTTTACTCTTGAAGTGTTTTATTTCTTGTCCAATCAGGTTATGGTCTGTGCTTCCTCTTCATGGCTGCCACTCCCGTGCTCAGGTCAAAGCTGTCCAAGCTGGTGGGCCCATCAGAACAAGGTGAGTTCCTGATGCTGTGCAGATGTGTAAACGAGTCGCAGCTGTGCTGCTGCAGATGGAAGTCGATTGGACCAGTAACACATCGGTGCAGTTTGGTCTTCAGGGTGTGTTTCTGTCCCCAGGTGCCCTGTTTGCCTCCGTCGCCTGCGTGGAGAGCTTATGTTTCCTGGTGGGCAGCAGCCTCTTTAACTCCCTCTACCCAGCCTCTCTTCACTTCATGAAGGGCTTCCCCTTCCTTTTTGCTGCCCTCGTTCTCTTCATCCCTGCTGGAATAATCGGGTGGGTCTGCGCTTTTATTTTATTTATTGTCTTTTTGATCCTCAACAGGTAGAAAACAAAACACCTGTTTTTTCCATCTGTCTTCGTAGGGCGGTGCAGTGTTTCGACCAGAGGAGGAATCAGAGAGACGCTCCAGTTTCCTGACATCCCGATATCGCTCCGTGACCTCAGCAGATCCGACATCATGTCTGGGATTCCAGGAGAAACTTTAATCCTAATATAGAAATGAGGATTTGTTTTTTGTTTGGTGGTGGAATTATTCCAGTAACACCAAAGAAATAATGTGCTTAAATATCCAACATTTCCAATGATTCATATGAGTTTTATTAGCTGGAAGATCAGACCCAGAAAAATATTGTTGAACAGCCTAAGTTTGGAGAAATAGAATTTGTTTGAGACTCTAATGAACAAGTTAACTGCAGCTCACAGTGAGCCAGGTCCAGATTAAATTACTGCTGTCTTTAAACATCTCTAATCCTTCAATAGGCATAATGGTTCATGCTCATCCTGTTAAAAACCTTTAGCTTCCCTATTTGTCTGAATTTACAGTCACTTAGACGGACTACCAAAGATATTTACAGCGCGTTCACTCCAAATTCTGTATTTCTGCATGAATAATATATGAAATGTTTGTTTGCAAGAATGTATTGGAGTTGTTATAAGGTGGCAGTATTCTACTTTAATCCTGTTCTCATTGTGACTAGCCGTTTGCTTCAATTTATCTCTATTTTTCCAGATCGAGGTTATTCTAACGTATGATTTATTCCTAACGTTTTTAAAGATTCCAACATCAAAAGAAAAGCACGATTCTTAGATGATAAAAAGATTTTCTGCAGCATTTTTATCCATTCACAGAAACGCTAACTCACCTGAAACAGGTGTGATTACTGATTACATTTGTAATCAAAGGAGACCAAAACTTTTTATGCACAACACAGATGATCTCTATAATTTTATGAATTTTAAAATAATGTTTTTTAATGATTTTATATTTTTTAAAAGTGTTTTCTTGTACAAAACTTTGGCGTTAGCTTTTACATGGTGTTGGTAGTTTGTTTGACAATGTGATCACATTTTGTTGTGAAAATGATGAAATAATTGTTTTTCTCTGATTAAAAGTTGAATTGTCTGTCTTTAACTCATTCACTGCCATTGACAACTAAAGTCGTCATTTTAGATCCAACCGTTCACTGCCAGTGACGACTAAAGTCGTCATTTGCATTTTTTTACTGTTTGAGCATCGGAACGAGCCCCCGCGCTGAGAGAACAAACATCTCAGCCCTGAAGCCGATCTTCATCCGCATACGTCACAGATCACATGATCAGTAAGCAACACATCCATGTGTTTGGAGATCGTTTTGGGCCGTTCCTATAAAAAAAGTGAGGCACGAACCGGAAAAGCGTCTGCTGATCACAATTCGACAACGGATTATGAAAGAACGGATAACGCTCGAAACACGCGGCTTCTTCCTGTTGTAAGAGGTGAGTCTGCTCTTTGTTTTGGCATCGACATCATGTTAGCGCGCAACGTTCTGTGACTCTTAAAAAACAGTAAAAACGGTGAGAAATGCTGGCAGCGAAGGCCGTTAGTGATCAGGAAATGGCTGGCAGTGAATGAGTTAAAGAGCAAGTCACCCCCAAATCAACTTTTTTTTCTGATAAACTATATAAATGTGTGTCTAATCGTGCTGCAGACACGTGTAGTTAATAGTTTTGTACTTTAGTGCATTTTAGTTAAAATTGTAATTTTCTGCCTAAAACTGTCAGTGTTGTGCCGTTGTCAGGTAAAAACTCTGCACTGCATTAGAATTTAAATCTGCCACCGCTATTGGCTAAGAGGTATGCTATGATGTAAACTGGTCCTTATGATGTCACTATGCCGTTGTGAGCGTGTGTGTGTGTGTGTGTGTGTGTGTGTGTGTGTGTGTGTGTGTGTGTGTGTGTGTGTGTGTGTGTGTGTGTGTGTGTGTGTGTGTGTGTGTGTGTGTGTGTGTGTATTTGCTAGCGGCTCCGCCCTCTCGGTCTGCTAGGCAACAGCATTTTCTGCATTTTTCAAACATGAAGAGGGAGTGAAGTAAGTTTCTTGTAGGGGGTGACTTGCTCTTTAACTTGCAGTGTTTTGTTCTGCAGAAGACCAGATTTAAGATGAACTGCAGTGCTGTTGGACCATCGGGTCACAGCCGTGACTACACCAACACACGTGTTTGTTGAAGCTGCAGCTTTTACATTTTTCAACACAACTGCATTTATTCATGAAATTCATGAACTTTCATTAAATATAATGATCCATATTTATAGTTTGCATATAAATACATTTAAAATTTAAGCTTTTTTTTTTTTTTTTTTTACATTTTCTGTCAATGTGTTTTAAATAAACTAGCAAATGTAAAAAAGCAAAATCATTTTCCAAACTAGCTTATTTGGCAATTCTGCCTTTTCAGTTCAGTGGCCTAGTGGTATGAGTGTCTTCACTCATGGAGGTTCTAACTTCCACGCACGAGTCCTGTTCGCACATGCGGTGTGGACAATACGTGTGCACGAGATATGGCGGAATTCTGACGCCATACACTGATGTCCTCAGTGTTTGTGTCCATAGCTGTGTTAGCAGCCATTCTGACTCTGTGTGGGTGCTGTTGCATTCCATGCCTCCGAGCCCTGATAACGAGACTGATAAATACAGCCCTTGCCCCATCACCTGAACTGATGGAGCAGGCGTTCACTCTGCTTGCTGAGCCAGACCCTGAAGACCTGGGAGAAGAGGACGAAGCCCTGCAGTATCATGTTGAGACACTGTTTGGTTCTGACCTGTGAGTGAATAAAGGCATGCCACGTGACTCTGTGTTCTAGATCTAGTTAGATTTTTTAATAAAGCTTTAAAGCATTTCTCTTGTATTAACTATGTTTCCTCTGAGTGCAAATGTTAATGTCGTTAAAAAATGACCTGATTACCAAAAATCTGAAAAGAGGTTTTCTAGTGATGTGTGAATAAATGGCATTAATCATGATAAACAGGAGGGAACTGTTAAAATAGTGTGTTTTCTTTTATCACGCTTTACGCTTTTATTACGTTTAAAGATTTTACCATTTATGTTGACAGTTACTGTTTTGTTTAAAGTCTCATGAGAAGACTAAAATGTGTTGTGCTTTGTTGAACAGAATGTGACCCAAGGACACGTCTGCTGACTCGTGCAACTGCCTGTTGCTCTTTGTATTAGAACTGAATGCTCTTTGTGATTAGAATCTTGTGTGAAAATGTTTCCAATTGCTGAGAAACAGAGCCATATTTTCCCCTACCCTTCAGCTCAGCTCTCAGGCATGTAACTAGGGAATGCCCAGCTTTTAATAGAGGCTGCTCAGATCAGAATGCAGAATGGTTTTGGAAGATCTGCTGGCGCAGTGGAGACTGTGCGAGTCGGACCTTATTCCATTCTCCTCGAGCTTCAAACACAATTCTAGTTTGTTATATTGTCCTTGTGTTGTCTTATGTGTTTAAACCGGACAGCATGGTAATTAAAAAAATTGTTTCACCACTGATAAATAAATGCTCTAAAATGAGAAGACACTTTGTAAATTGTTTCATTCTTTGACCAAAAGGATCTCAGTTCAAAAAGCTTCTCAGATTTAGTGAAATAAAATTATAGTATTTGAGATAAAAACATAAAATGCTGGAAAAAAAAGAACTGTCCCAATATAAAAAAAACTTCTCACTACAGCATGACCAAGTTACAGTTTTTAGTGATTAAAACAAAACACAAGTTTTATTTCTTTCATCTTTATTGTTACAATCAACCTTTTCACAGGAAATTCAATTATAAAAAAATGTCTGAACAATAAAACAAACAATATTTTCTCCACGTTACATTTAAGTGTGATGACATGAAGCACATGACCTGAATCAGATGGTCAGAAACGGCTTCAATATTTCAGACGTCTCCTAAAAAAGGATCATAATAGAAAAGACGAACCGTTTCAACAGTGTTTACAAAAGACTTTCTGGCTGTGGAGAATAAAAAAAGTCCCATCAAGTTCTTAAATAAATAAAACCAAGAACAAATCCAGTCATTTATTGTGCGTAAGGAGGAAATGAAGCGTTAGTCCTAAAATCATCAGCCACAAATCCTGGGAATCGCACTTTGTAAATGAAAATGAGGAAATAAACTGACGGGTGTTGACTGCTTATTTCTGGTTTAAGTCAAACAGTTATGGTATAATTACATGTTAACTCAAAGGTTTAACCCAAGTTCATTAAAGCAAATCTACACGATCACCGCTGGAATCTCTGTGAAAACTTCAATTATCACTAATGATCTTCACTACAACCACACAGCAAACACTGACATTCACCACAGAAATACATTTTTTAACTATTTACCGTGTTTTAGTTTTACTTTAGTGCCACGCTGTTGGTGATTATCAGAAGCTGCTGCAGAACATTATCCTTCATCAGACTGAAGTGCTTTCACCTAAACGCCTTTCTGTGTTTGTAGTTAGAGTTGCCTTCAAAATCCAAACTGTCTTCAGAACAATGAACACCATTTCACAACAGTAAAACTCAGAGAATATTGATGTGGAAATCCAAAGTGTTCAAAATTAAATTAATAACACATTCCATAATGTTTAATTATAGCTGAACGTTTTAGAGTCCATGTAATAATCTGCTCTTAGTACAAAAAAATTATAAACATTCAGGATTAACTAAATACTAATTTTACACAATATAAACCATGTTTGTTTTCCTCCCCAAACACTAACGAGATCGAAAATTTCTACACGTGTCTGAAATATTAAGTGATTATTAATATGGAGCCAAATCGGCATCAAAAGGAGTTATATTTGAAAAAACTTAAGCTGAAAATTTAGTTCTGATCTTTAACTTTTAAAGGGAAAAAAAGGATACAAAAGAAAAAAGTGAAGCTATTTTTGTTTAGATTAAATTTGTGTTTAAATGATCAGAAAAATGGTTCAAATGAGTCCAAGTTCAAAACCTTTTGATCAGTTTAACATTTTTTTCCTCTTTTGGATCTAAAAAAAAACATTCTCATTCCTATAATTCTGTCTCAAACGTCCGACCCTGACTTGATGTGAGGGGGCGGGGCTTCAGATGAGAGATGTGGAAAAATTATCAGGATCAAAGGTTTGATATACAGAATAAAACACCTTTGCAATTGTCATGACCATTTCAAAGTAAAGGCAAAATCCAATCAAAAAAACTTTAGCTTCACTTTTTTTTCATAACTAGATTTTCAGTTTTAATTTCTTTTATTAAACATATGACTCTGGTTTAGCTCTGTGGAGTTGGACGAGAAGGCAGCAGCCTCACTTTGCTGTTTTCTCACATCTGTTCATTTTCAGATGAATTAGCATCCTTTAAATTTCAGGCAGGATGGCAGACTTGTAATTTAAAAAAAAAAGCATCTGTAGGGTCAGCCTTAAGGAACGGGCTTCCCTCTAGTGGTTAGATGAAGAACAGCACTTCCTGCTTGTCAAAACTCTGAAAGCCATTTATGGTATAAAATAATTATGATGATACAAATTTATATATGTCTTTTCCTCCAATTTCACAAGTTTTGAGCAAATTTAAGAAGAACAACTGTGTTGTGTGATAACTGAACTCGTCATTTATTTGAAGCCTGCTACAGATTAAGTTATTATTAAGCATGCGTTGCCCATCTGGACTCCGGCCGGGCCGACATTAAAGAGATGCACTCACAATTTCAGCAGTTATTGTTCCCTCTAAACGACGTTGGAGTATCGAGGTGTTCGAAACGCGCTACCTGCAGAAACTAGCAGACAAAGCTGGAGGTGGCTCTTGAGAGCCAGACATCCTGCAATGGCAGTAAAACTGAGCCAGAGTGGATAGAGGAGGAGGAAGTAGACAAAAGTAGCAAGGTGAATGATGCTGAAGTCACACTTGATGGAACTTGCAGCACTGAGTCGCCTCCCAATCAGATTCCAACATCTGAGATAGTTGTCAGCATCTCCAGGGAGGAGTGCTTGTCTGCAGAGTTAGCTGTATGGCCCAAGGCCTCTCAGGGCGATACAGCAATCAAGATTGTACTAACTGACTCCAGGCGGAGCTCCGTACTCCACTCACTCGCCGGTCTCGGGCACAACATGACACGGGAATCGGTTTGCCGTGTCTCACGCCGTTCAGCTCGCATAACTAACTCCAAAAATAGCAGCTCTGTCGAGAATCTTCCATTGACACGGTTGATGATGACGATGAAGATGTTCCTGAGACAGTCGACGCTGATGCGCCTGAAAAATCTGAGAAAACTTCAGGAGCCCATGATAATAAGAAACTTTTTTTCTGAAACATTTTTTCTGAAACAATTAACACAACTCAGAAAAATTGCCCTACTTCTCCAAGCATCAACTCCTCTATGCATCAACGTCAAATTTAAATGAACATTCGTTCGACTTTATTTAAACACAGTTTTTATCTTCATCACGTTTGCTGTTTATTAAAATTTTTTCTTAATTTCTGATTTTCTCAGCCAACTAATGCACTTTGGTGAGTGTGAAGAAGGAGCTTTCTGAGGTAGCAGGTTTTAGTTGAGGGGGTTTGGTGAAAGCGGTTCACTTCTACAGAGCAAGCGCTGAAGGACCGATTTATGTTAACCCAGTAGTGAATAAAATAAAAGCCTCCGTGACTTTTATATCTAGATATGGATATATAATATAAATAAAATGATTAAATGACATAGTTGATTAGTTCCAGATTGCCATGTAAATGGGTGAAGGGTTTTTGTCATAAGCTACATCCCAGAGGGATAATAAGGCATTTGGTGTCCTTAACAAAAGGCCTTGTTGGGTTTCACACACACACAAACACCCAAAGTGTAGCTGACAGGAAGTTGTTTCATTCATGGAGGGGAAAAAAAAGACCTCTGAGTTGATCAGACCTACATATCCTTCTCCTTCTTGGCCTCCCGCTTGGTGCTCTTTAAAAAGTCGCTTCTAAGCAGCCGACAGAACAGGACGATGTTCATGGCCGTCATGATGGCCATTCCCACGCTGCCCAGCGTGTACGCCAGCAGAGGCACCTTGTCCCTGTTGAGCACCAGCCAGCGGGTCATCCAGGCCAGCGTGTTAATGCGGAATATCACGTACGTTCCCAGGTTGATCATGCTGTTGACGCGGTAGAACGTGCCGACGGCCATGTTGGCCATGCGCAGATTCTGTCTTAGGTGAAGGAACACGGAGTTGATCTCCACCAGCAAGGCCACCACGGCAAAGCCCACGTAACAACTGGAGAGCACAGAGAGGCCGAAACAGGTGATCACCTGCAGGAGGGAGACAGGAAACAGGACGTTTAGTTAGGAATAAAGGAAAATATGTTATTATTCTGGTAGAACTTAGCGTTTATAATTCAAAAATTAATATGAACTTCCCTGATTTAAATTATAACTTGTTCCAATATGCCAAAACTACTTACATGATTGCTTTTTATGTGCTTTATCACTTTAAATGTAAACATCAGATTTCCTTTGAGTCAAAATGACCATAAATGTTACAACGAACTTTGAATCAGCTGATTGTAAAAAGGAGATGGCCACACCCCCTTAGCTGGTTTCTGCTGAATAATGCTTATGAAAAGATGTGATGTAACAGGCAGATGACGTCCACAAGGGAGCAGCAGAGGACCTGAACATGGTGACAGCAGACACATCTTAGGTTCCTTTAGGAAGTTATTCAACTGCAGCTGTACACGTACATAATCCAGACAGGTGAGTTTAGACGAAAACGCTTCAGAGCCAGCTGTGTTTAGGTTTACTCCCTGGTCAAACTCGACCAGTAAAATAGCTCCACAGGAAACCATGACCTTTGCAGCCAGATAAAAGAAAGCTTGTGTGTTCCATGTGACAAGACACGTGAGGACGGTTCTCTTTTACTGTACGTTACACAAAGGTTGCTTTTACTGGGAGCTTCAGCAAATACATCAGTTATCTAAAACTGTTTAATTGAGCTGTTAGTGGGGAAACGTTTGTGCATAAAATATATATAAAATGAAATTAGAAATGTACAATATGAAAATTCACTGTGGTGGCTGATAACAGATACTCTTTTTTGCAACATTTGGCACATGTGAAAGGTTTAACTAGCTTTTGGAAGTACTGTTATTCAAAAATTTCAAGTAAAAGCAATGAATTACATTATTATTTATCATCACTATTATATTATTATCTGATGACCAACTTTTCTCTTTATTTCAATGACTTGGCTCCTCTAAACACATTCAAAATCAAAATAGTTCAGGGTTATGCTAAGTTTTCACATGCTATCATCCTGTAATGACAAACTGAAGTCAGTGAAAGCACCGTGTTTAGTAACAATCTGCTGCATTATAACAGCTATAGTTTGTTTTTTAAAGCTACATGAACTCATCTGTTTGTCCACAAATCAGTGAGATCACACCACAGGTCAGGACCTTGTGACATTCCTCTGACTCTGAAACTTGTGCTACACTAGGTGTGTCAGGACGTCATGTTACTAAAATAACCAAAGAACCACACTGGCCTCATCCTAAAATTATTTTTAGTACAAATTGTTGGGGTTTTTCCTGCGTTCAAATTTGCGTGGCGGCCGCCTCCAGCTAATTTTTTGCCGCCCCAGCCTGATTTCACTCTGCCCCCAGCTATATGGATGTTATTTTAACTGCAGTTGTAGCGTTGGGGTGCTGTATCAGCAGCGGTGCACCGAAAAGCACTAAAACCGCTGCAGAAAAAAGATCAAAAGTTGCTTTTCTCACTAGTTGGTACATACACTCAAAAATATAAACGCAACACTTTTATTTCTGCTCTGATTTCATGAGATGGACTTAAAGATCTAAAATTCATTCCAGATACACAATATTACTATTTCTCTCAAACATTGTTCACAAATCAGTCTAAATGTGTGATAGTGAGCACCTGTGCTTTGCTGAGATAATCCATCCCACCTCACAGGTGTGCCACATCAAGATGCTGATCTGACATCAAGAGTAGTGCACAGGTGTACCTTAGACTGCCCACAATAAAAGGCCACCCTGGAATGTGTAGTTTTGTCTCACAGCAAAATGCCACGGATGCCACAAGCATTGAGGGACTTTGCTATGCAAAAAAACACCTCAGACAGAAATGCACACAGACTTCAGACATTACACAAGTGTCCACTAGGTGGGGAGGTAGGGTGGGGACTCTCCTCACTTCAGTGCGTGCAGCCGTATGGAGCAGCGCTCATCACCTCCGTTTGGACAGGGGAGGGAGATAATGGGTTAGAGAGCACATTGACTCCTAGATACGGTTCCACGGCCTTCACCGGTCACAGTCCTGACCAGGCTGGGATAGGGAGAAAGGGTTTCTATAGCGACGGCAGCATTCCACATTTCATCTGAGGGGAGTTTACACAGGCTCCAAGGGCACCAGATTCAGATAAGAATTGTTTTGGGGACAGACAGAGATAATTTCCTCTCTGCCTTAGAGTTCTGTTGGTCTTCAACCCCTCTAGGTCCAATAATGGCGTAATTAATCTATCCCAATCCGTGATGATTATTGCTGATCCGAGTCCAACGACGCTTAACCACAGCTCATAAGCACAGATAGCAGCTACAAAGACCCCTGCTTCGCTAATGTGTCACCATCTCAAGGTTACCAACAGTCAGCAAGTGAGAGGAGAACGAGAAAATGTTTAGGCCAGAGAATGGGGAAACCATATAAAGTGGTACCCGGTGACAACAACCTGAAACCGGTGATGAGTCTGAACCGAACTGAGCCTTTGATGGTGAGGGTGAGTAACTATTATTATCAGTAACCTGCACTGAGGGAGGGGAGGGGGGACTCAATATTCCCACCCAACAGTTTCTGGATCTATAATGAAGGGATTGATTTACAGTAGATTAGCTGGGTTTATGAGATAAAAGCACTGCTTCAGTGCAGAATTTCACATCCAGTCGCCTCGGAAACATGACTTCAGTAAGTTGAACAGAGAACGCAGCTAACAGCATAACAAAAAATCATTGGCAATTCAATAATAAAGATGAGAAAAAATGTGTTTGTATAAAGAAAATATTGAGTCAACTTCCTGAAGAAACATTTAGCTTTCAAAGTGAAAATTCTCTATGAGTTTTGAAGAATTATGGTCCTTTTTGGGGTTTCTTTTAAAGACCAAGTTCACTTAATTTTTTCAACACATATGCAGCGGTCTCCAGTGTAATTGAATGCCTTGTGAGTCAATCTAAGGGAAAAAAGCTCGGGCTGTACTGTTTCAGGAAGTAGAAGTTAGCCAGAAGAAAGGTGAGCAGAAGAAGTCGGCAGGACTTGGAGTGTTATTTCCTGATATTTGGTCATCTCTCCTCTGATTGGTTAACAGCAACACCACTGCTCTGCAACGTTGAGGGTTTTATCTCCACAAATAACACAAGCTTGGACGAGTTCTATGTTGAGATGCTAATGCTAACAGTTAGCTAATCAGTAATCCTTCACTGTAACTGTGTTAAAAAATCTAGTTAAAGTTAAAGAAACTTTAGTTTTGCTGCTTAAAATATCTTAAGAAAACATTTGAATACTTAATTAGTCCAGAAATATAAATGTTAAACTTGTTTTTTCAAAGCTCAATAAAATATGTTCAATTGTAAATGTTTAAAAGCAATAAAATATAATAAGGTTAGAATGTAAGTACACAAAAGCCTGGACAACAAACGCCTGCACCTTCCTCCCTCTGGGCTCAATTAGATGCACCTGCTGAGGGACCTTCAACTTCTTCATGATTTCAGGGGAGAAACACCACGGGTTAGTAAATGACACCTATAATAAATGAGAAAAACTAAATTAAACTTCGGAAAATTTAAGAATTAACCCGTTTTTAAATTGGCTCAACCAAAGTGGTATATCGGCCAACACCACTTATAAAAAATGTAAATATATCGATATAATATATCGATCTGTCCCTATAGAAATCTGAAAGGCAAATCCTTAAAATCAGATTCAGAGTTTTATTGCCGTATGTGAGAGAAATCACATTAGGAGATACTTCCAATCCAATCCATCCAATTATATCTGACCAAAAGTGAAATAATTTAAAAGATTACGTTAGAAAAAAACATAATTAAGGCTGTAACAGGAACAGGCCCTTCCCCACATTCAGGTTCTCTCACCTTTCCTGCTTTCAGGACTCAAACAAACTTGCCTGTTGCACCAGTTTACTCACAACGCAACAGGGAGGATCCATGCGTGTCATTGTGTCGACAGCATTTTGAATTCCTTAAAAACTAGATTGTGTCATTCTTCAGGTAACCTACTACCTCACAACGAGGGTTATGAAGGACTTCAAACCAGTTTTCTTTCATCCAGTTCAATATTTGTCAGATGGCTGGTTAGTGGGACGGTTTGGAACCGTTCAAGAGTCTTTTGTTCTACTTGACAAAGGATGCATTGATTGATAAGGCTGCTGTGTGTGTGTGTGTGGGGGGGGGGGGGGGGGAGCAGAGGAAGGAGAAGCTCAATGTGGCCTTTAATGGTCTCTTAGAGCTTTCTGACATCTTGAGATGGTGGTAGTGATGGGGTCAAAGGTGTTAGGGTGCTGGCAGACATGCTCTGAACAGGTGGGAGTGTGACCAACCATCTCTCTTGCTCACACAGACACTGCACATAAATCTGAGAATAGTTTTAATACTTTGTACACCTACAGGACCAGTAGAGCTTCTTTGGTGCTGGCCGTAAGAGACAGGAAATGTCCCAGTTAAGTTAATAAACATTTATGACATTCAGCAGAGCGGCGGCGACTGTAGCAGGTGGGAGGGGCTTTATAAAGGCTCAAAGTCTAATGGAGGAAAGGACACACAGCTAAGAAACACTAGAAAGTAGTATCAGTTAGACAAACAGATGCACACAGAGGAAGTCTAAAGTGTGAGAGGAGACACGGGTTAGCTCAAGGTCTGAGAAAGTGGTCTTAACTTGTATCATGAGGTCTTGGCTAACTCTAGTCAGCTGACAGACACACACACAATCTTAGTAAAAGTGGTCAATTAGAGCCGTACGGCTTGTCATTTACATAGGTGTGTGTGTGTGTGGGGGGGGGGGGGGGGGCACACAGACAAAATGAGTACATTTTACTTATGACCGATTAGCATTTATTTTTCTATAAATGTCTCAATATTTCACAGCAAAATAAAAGTGCAAACAGAATAACTTTCATTAATAATAAAAATATTTCATTACAGCTGAAGGATGATTTTAGGATCTTGGCCCATCAGTTCACATTTACATGCATGAGCTAACCGCCCAACCGGCATCATGTCTAAATGAGA